CACACACACACACACACACACACACACACACACACACACACACACACCCCTCTGTGTGTAATGGCGCCCATTGTCACCCCTGCAGGAGATACAGCAGCGGCATGGTCTGGCCAACTCCATCTCTTCTTACCTAATCAAGCCTGTCCAGAGGATCACCAAGTACCAACTGCTCCTGAAGGTACCTGCCCTCCCCTCTGTGTCACCCCCTCCCACACTACCAACCGGGTCCGGGGAGGCCTAGCTTTGCCGAAGGATGGGATGGCTTCCCCTGCAAGACCTCGCCTCCACCTAGAGCAAAACTTCAGAGATGAACCCCACTGGCTTTGCTGCCTCCCAGACTGCATAAATTATCCCAGGAAATTCTGGGTGCTTATTTATTGGGGAACAGAGGAGACATGAGAACACGAATAAGTCGTGACTCTTTCCACACCTGCCCACCACTGCACAACTTGGAGCAGTTGTCACCAGGGGCACTGGCTGACACGTGGGGCCTCACTTGGCTGCCCGGGTAGATTCCTCCTAGTGGCCCCTGCTTCTGATAGGATCAGGGGTCAAGGTCTTCGGGGCAGTGCCAGTCTACATAGGCAATAGAGGCCCAGGGTGGCACCTACCATTGCCTTAATCTCTGTCAAGACTATGAGGTTTCTAAGAGAAAACCCTCAAACAGTGCAGATTAAAACACAATGGCACTCTTGTGTCTGGAAGAGCCCATATGTTAGGTAAGGGTTCTTTAGGAGCCAAGGAAAAGATTCAGATTTTCTCCAAAATATTCTCTTTAAAATTTAAATAACCAAATGATATGAAATACTAGGTAATTTGGGCTGATTCTTCTTAAGGAAAGATACACTTACCATCTGAAAAGATGGCATTTCCCCCACAGAAAGCCTGGGAAATCGATAGTATAAGCAATTATGTAATGCCAGTGTATACCAGTTCTCAAGGGATAAGGGTGGGGTTTTCCCTAAGTTTAATTATTTTGCTAGTGGCTCCTCAAATGCAGAGGACATTGGGGTAGCAAGAGGCGTGTTCTAAGTAGTGTATTTCCAGAGAAAATCTGCTGAAATTCAACTCACGTGTAGAGATGCTTGTGGAGTCTCACATATTCTAGCTTCACGGAGCCTGAAAACCAGTCTAGTTTCAAACCTAGGTTTCTACTCACGCTGGAGTGTGGCCCCTGCCGCATCGGGCCCCAGGGGTCTCCCTGCTTAGCCGCGTGGTTCCATGATAAGAGCAGGGCCTCTTCCCCATTCTGTGTCAGGACATGAACTAGTACCCCCAACCCTCTACGGCCCTTCTGGCCTCTACCTTCAAAGTCCTCTTGCCTTATCTCTAAGAAGAGACTTTTTGGGCTTCTGCTTCCAGGCACTCAAGTCATCCAGCCCTGCAGAGATGCCTTAGAGAATTACTATGCGGCATCCTGCCCTTGGCCTTTACTGAGGCCTTGTGTGAGAAATAACAATGTGCAGAGCACCTTGACAGTTTTAACGAATTGCTTTTGAAGATGTCCTCTTTGTTTTTTCAAGTTCCTTATATAAAGACTCACAACTCTCATAAGGCCTCAGAGTGGAGTACGGGTGTTCTCTCCAAAATCGTTGGTGTGCCCTCTACATGTAAATTGCAAGAGCTTTCGCTCCTTCTTCGCCTTTGACTATCAGATAATTAGCCTTGAGTCCTGTTACAATGACTACAATGACTATATTGTTTCTACTTTGTCCTTAACCCAGATTTCTGTGTATAATCATCCCCTCCTTCCCTAGCCCATTTAATGCTTGACCCTTTCATGATTTTTCTTGTACCAGAAGACTTTTTAAAATTCAATTTTTTGGTTATGAAATGTAAGTATCGCAACTCCTTTTCAGGAGTCGGTGGGGCTGTAAATTAAAAAGTAAAACAAAACAGAAACTCACCCATACACACTGCTGGTGCCTTAAGTAAATAAGATCCAGTTCTAAGAGAAAGATAGCTTTTCACCTCTCCCTTTGAATTCCGTGGGGCTGAGGTTCCCAGGATAGTCTTGTGACACACACAGGAGAGGGAAGGGAGGGTGGACAGGCTGCCCTGTATTTTGCTTTAGGTGATGGGAGGGGTGGGTGCTAGGCCTTCATTCTGTAATTGGGTGTCTTAGGAAGAAATGATTGTGCAGGTATCTGAGAAGGGGGAAAAATGAAGTAGTGGGAATTGGACTGTGGAGAAGTTGTAAAATTATTGGGGAAAAAGGACTTACTAAGGTGATTAGGACTCATAAATATACTGATAGCAGAGTACCCGCTGAGTAAAAGAAAAATAGTTTGCTGAGTTTATTATTATTATTTATAATAATAGTTTATTATTATAAATAAATAATGTGGGATTTATTCTCTCATTAAAGACAGTTTTATTCCAAATATATTGATATTTAATTATCAGTGTCCTCTGGGGCTCCTCGCTTTGGATGTTGCATGAAAATAAAAACTGTATGTCAGTTGCTGTTCAATATTCTCCCTATAAATCTGCTACAGCTGTCCTTTTGGAGTCTAAATTAAATGTGGAGCCTTTTCCTTAATATCAACTATAACAAGGATCCAAGGAGAACTTTTTGCCTTTGCTAGCTGAGAGGACTTGCCACACTGCTTTGGGGGCCGGGGGACGGGCGGGGGTTGTCCAACCAATTAGTGTTTTCTGTTGCACACAGAATCCTATTTCATATTTGTCTCTTGTGCTTCTGCCTAGAAATTCCTTTGAGGATATATGAGAACAAGGTCAGGAGGGCGAAAATTAGGGAAGGGATGGGAGAATCAGGGAACTTCAGGTTGGTAGAAGTAAATGCAGGTTTCTGAACAATTTTTTCCTATTATACTGGCTGGAGCCAAGGACAGTGCTGAGAATGGATCACTTCTCCCACCCAAACATGCTCAAAGTAGTTCATCTCTCCTTTGGACACTCAGAGCTCCCTTCTTCATAAGGGAATGTATCTGAGATGACACAAAGGATTGGATGTTCATGTCAGATGCTCAGTGATCAGATCTCTTACCAAGTATAAAGCTTGACTAATAATGTCAAGGATACAAATAATCCCAAGGCAGAGATAAGTTCAGGACCACCAACAGCTCCAAGTCCTTTCTTGGAACTTCAGGAGGTACCGTGGCTCAGACCAACATACAGACCTTCTCAATGGTGTATATTGTATCAGATCATTTACTCCGAAGAGAGCCATTTTGTTTATGAAATATACACTTTTTACTCAGATAGTGGCATAACATCTGTAATATTTTACAGGGAGCTATGCCCCTAAAGCCATGGATTCAGGTTTTTGTTACCACAAGAAGTCTTAGGCCAGGTATATCCTACTGGAAGCATTCCATAGATAAGGACTCTCCTGCTAGCTAGCTAGTACCATTAGTTTATTTGAAGGAAGGTCTGACATCAACATGTTCACAAGATTTGATCTGGTCAACTTCTTTCTTTCCTGGAAGGCCATCTTATCCAACCACCCATACCCTGACTTCCCCTACCCCCTAGAAGGAGAGCGTATGAATTGCAGATCTGTTGCCTATTTCCTTCCCCATATCAAAATGAGCAAAATTTACAGTAACCCTCATAGGAAAAATAAAAGCCGACATTCCTCCGGGTTGGGGAAAATTATTTCAAATGGTCCTTATAATTTTTAAGAAAGTTGAAAATTCTCTTTTCTCCATAAAGCAGATACTATATATCTTTTATGGAGGTAATAATAACCTAGTCTTCAATGAGGAATAAGAGAGGGCATGCTCTGGGAAGTCTCAGTGTGATGGAGGTCATGGGGGACAGGGTTGGCATGGCAGATGGAATAGTGGACTTGGAGTCTAGATTTAAGATTCGAAAAGGACTAGTCCAGAATCCCATCTACCAATCTCAGGTTAGGAACTCCTGACTTAGACGATCTAAAAATATTTTATAACTCTGAAACCCTGTAAACCTATAATGTCTGTAACCCCAGGTTGCTCCCAGTATGGTGCAAGTCAGCATTTAGGCAGCAGAGGGATGTAAATAAACATGGTGCCAGCCGTAGGCGTGCAGGGACATATGAGTTCTGTGCATTCTTTGCATGCCTGTTGTCTTCTTTTTGTGATTCCACACTACTGACGTTCTGTTTGTGTGCTGTGCCAGGAGTCCTCCCTTCTCCAGGAGGGGAACCAAGTGACAGAGAATGCCCTAGGTTGCTGACTTCCAGTGCTGGGCATTTAAGAGTTGGGTTGAATTGAGTTAGTTTAGGTTAGATGGAGCTGTGGAAGTTCAGTCTGGAAAAAAATTGTGGTTGAATTCTTTGGAGAAAATATCCCACCCCACTCTCCTTATAGCTTAGAGGGAACCATTACAGAGAATGAAGCTGGTCTACAGTCACCTTGGTGGGTTAGGTGGTGGGAGGGTGGGGAAGCTGGGATAAATGGTTCTAATTGTGTCTGGACTTTTTCCCCCAGGAACTTTTAACTTGCTGTGAAGAAGGGAAGGGGGAGCTCAAGGATGGCCTGGAGGTGATGCTCAGTGTCCCAAAGAAAGCCAATGATGCCATGCATGTCAGCATGCTGGAAGGTAGCTGTCTGTCCTCCCAGCCTGTCTGGGGGAGCCTCCTCCTTTCCTAAGACCAGGGAGCTTATTTCTTGGGAGGGAAGTGGCATGAAGTCAGGCAAAGGGCAAGGCTGGAAGAGAGGAGAAATGGCAAGTGGAGGGCATGGGTCTTCAGGGCATTGGGCCTCAGGAGGTGTGAGAGGAGCTCCACAGGGGCCAGCTCGACCAATACCTGCCTCCTGGTAGGACCAAGTTGTTTCAGGTACGTAGACAACTTACTGCATGTGAGGTGGTCTAGCACAGGCTATCTTCCTCACCCAAAATGTGCTAGAGCCCTGCCCCACAGCAGTCCTGTTCATCTGCATGGCACTGGCATTGTGTTGATCACCAAAATGAGTAGAAATCCTGCGTGCATGTAAATACACACACGCACACACACACACACACGTGCCCCCATGGTCTCCAGCCTTATGCCCTTCTTCTTTCTATTGCAATAAAATATACATAACACAAAACTTGCCATTTTAACCATTTTTAAGTGTACAGCTCAGTGGCATTAGGTACACTGGCGTGGGTGCGCACCGCCCTTCTGCCCCTCCTAACAGGTGAGAAAAGTCTAGCCAGACAGACCCGAGAGGACTTTGCCTAAGTACATGTAGTCTGTGGGAACCATGCTCTTGGGACCCAGAGACTGGGTAGAGTGAGACTCCAACACAGTGCTGTTACCACCGCAGAACAGACATGCAGATCTGCCAAGCCGGGGTGGGGTTGTGAGAGGAGCTCAGACTTGGCATCCCAGTCTGGCCTGGCAAAAAGGTGCTGAGGGACGGGAGTGCCCTCTGCTGCAAGTCTGCAGACCTGTGGGCTGGGTTTTCTCCTCCCCACCCTCTGTCCCCACCCTCCATCTAGAAGGCTCCGTCTGGTCTCCCCACTTCCTGGGCCACTCTGAGCAGAGGAGGCTGAAGTTCTCTGTGCAGTTGAGCCCTGGTAACCTTCTCTGGACTGAGCACTAGCCATCTGAACATTCTCCTCTTGCCACAATTTCTCCACCCTGTTCTGTTGGCACCCATCCTTGTCCCCAGCCCTGCCTGTCCTCCCCTGCTAGCACCCTTCTCCACCAGCCGGTCCCTGCCCTCTGTTCTGAATCCAGTTGCTCCAAGTACAGTCTGAGGACCAGCAATAGCAACACTTGGGAGCTTGTCGGAAGGACAGATTCCTGGGCTCCACACCACAGCTACGGAATCCGGTTTCCCAGTCTCCCTGCAGGGCAGGGGTGGGTAGGAATCTGGGTTTTGACCAGCTCTGTGGGTAATTCTTATGCATACTAAGTTTCAGAACCTCTGTTAAAACTTAAAGAGGAATAAATGTGACTGTTCAAGGCACGTGCAGTGCACTGTTTAGGAGCCATCAAAGGGAAGAGTCATAGGAATGGAATAAAAGAAATAAGTGGCAACAAATAAAGTGGAGTCAAGGGCACTCCCCTATCCTGCAGTGCTTGCCCACAGCCCCACTCAGTGCTCTGAGTCGGTGGGAAGCTATAGGAAGAGGGGTGCATGGGGTTTGCCCTTGCAGGAGGTGCCAGCCCATGCGGAGATGCCGCCAATCCTGGTTATGTGTAGGAGACCTGGTGCGGGAAGGGGGATCTGCTCTCTGTTCCCTAGAGCTGTCTCCTCAAGTTTTGAGGAGGCTCAGGAATCCACTGAGAGGGGATTCCTCTCATTGTGGGAACAGAGGGCTTCTAGGGGAAATGTTTCCGTGACGGGAGTGGAATGTGGCCCCCAAGTGGCGCTAGAGAAACTCCACAGGGCGGAAACGGTGTCTTTCAGGGTTCGACGAGAACCTGGATGTGCAGGGAGAGCTGATTCTCCAGGATGCCTTCCAAGTGTGGGACCCAAAGTCGCTGATCCGGAAGGGGCGGGAGCGGCACTTGTTCCTCTTTGAGATCTCCTTGGTTTTTAGCAAGGAGATCAAGGACTCTTCAGGACACACGAAATATGTTTACAAGAACAAGCTACTGGTAGGTGGGGCAGGTGGGGTCAGACAAGTCTCCCTGTTGTCCTAGAGCCCTCGGGCAGAAAGGGCTCTTGAACACTCAGCTCATCTCTCCCCTGGCGCCACACCAAAACCGTCCTGGACAAATGAAAAGGCCTCCTATTTGGAAAGCTGCCCCCCTCGACTCCCCCTTCTGCATTTTAGAGCTCACCGGTCTTCTTGCTGTCTGCTTTTAGTGCCTCCCTCTTCACCCTCCCTCCCTGCCACCTGCTAATCTGGCAGGCGCCTGTAGGTCCTTTCATCCCAGGTAGAAGATCAAAGCGTCCAGTCTGTTGAAGTTTGATTGACAGAAGCCCCTCCCTCGGTCCTCTCCTCTTTGTTGCCTTTCCCTTCCCACCCCAGCCCTAAGTTCCCCACTGCCCTCCCCTTCCCCGCCTCTCACAGGCATTTCCTGTCTACAGACCTCAGAGCTGGGTGTGACTGAGCACGTAGAAGGTGATCCCTGCAAATTCGCCTTGTGGTCTGGGCGCACCCCCTCCTCAGACAATAAAACAGTACTTAAGGTAAGTACTGCTCCCAGCCGGCCAAAGGTGCAGGGTTGCGGGTAGCAGGTGGAGGGCAGAGGGCGGCGGCATCTTCTTCTTGAAAGCTGGGGCCTGGAGACTCCACAAGGAGGGCAGTAGCCCACGGGTATTAAAAACCAAGTTCTATCATGGAAGTAGGCCTGAAATCTCAAAGATGGGTGGTCTCCTAAGTCCTTCCCCTCCTGTACACCTAGAGGGAAAAAGGCAGGGAACAGCCTGCTGGGCTGTCTCAGCAGGGCCCACTTAAGTATGCTCTGTCCTTATGTCCCCTTCAAGGGCAAGGACAACTGACCTTTTGACAAAAGGTACTGTGATTTGTTCCACATCCATCCAGTGCTTTTTCTTGAACACCTACGTAGAAGGTATTCTGCCCAGGGCTGCTTGTAACTAAGTATGAGGGATGGACTCGTCCTCCAGGAACTTAGGTTCTAGAGCTCTAATAAATCATGCTAGCTTGGCAACTGTGTTGATTGAAAGGAGTGCTGAGAAAGAGCTCTTCACCAGATGACAGCCTTAAGGAGTCATTCCAGCTCTCCAGAGCACACACAGCTTGGGATTCGGGGCTTGTGGTAACATGCATCTGACCGAGAAGGGGTCCTACGGACGGGGCTCCCACCACACATTTGTTTATTGGGGTGGCTGCCACCCTGGAAGAGGTGGTACGACTGTGACAAACGCTTCACATTGTTCCCTCTGAATTGTCGCCCAGCTCTAGCTGCCACGAGACAGAATGACCTGAAAACAATTCCACAAAGACAAACTAGAGATTCACGAAATGGTACAAGTGCCTTCAGTGAACAGGTTTACAAGGCTAAACTCCCGGCACTGACTTTCCGTCAGCGCAGACCTATGTATGTAGCCATACTAGGGTTTAAATGTGCTGGCATGGATCTGTACCACTTGGCAAATAGCCACTGCCTTCAGATACCCCCTTGCTACCCCTCCCAGTGCTGCCTAGACCTCCCCAGCCTCTAGCAACTGATGTGTTCATCCCTGCCCCAGCAGGGGACTTCTACATAGGCTCCAGCCCCAGACAGATGGCAGTATGTTTTTAGAAGATTTTTATGTATTTGAGAGAGAAAGACCATAAGCAGCAGGGAGGGGCAGAGGGAGAGAGAGAAGCAGACTCTCATTAAGTAGGGAGCCTGACACAGGGCTCGATCCCGGGACCTCGAGATCATGCCCCGAGCCAAAGGCAGACACTCAACCATCTGAGCCACCCAGGTGCCCCATTGCCAATGTCAGTATTGGTCAGTGCCACACAGAGTATTAAATACTTTGACAATCACTCCTGTACAAGTCTGTATTGAGTATTGCGGTCTTAGCCCCATTCTAGTAGTTGAAGGAGTGTGTCCTTGGGATTGAAGAGTCATGCATGTAAAATGAGAAATGAGCTCCTCAAACATTTTGTGTCCTTGAAAATAATGGGATAAGCCTGCAGGACAAGGACGGAGAACTGTTTTTAGGCAGGGCAAAAGGAGATGGGGTATTTACTCTTTCTCTCTGTGGCACTCCAGGCCTCCAACATAGAAACCAAGCAGGAGTGGATCAAGAACATTCGAGAGGTGATTCAAGAAAGGATCATTCACCTGAAAGGAGCTTTAAAGGAGCCGATTCAACTCCCCAAAACACCAGCCAAACAGAGGAACAATAGTAAGAGGTAACCAGCATCTCTCCCCTGACAAGCACTGCCTCACAGGCTCCAGGAGTGGGAGTGGGATCTCCCTCCGCTCCCACAGAGGCGGTGCAGTCTGCCGTTGGCGCCCCGCTCCATGAAGTCCCATCTAAGATGAGGAGTCTCCGTGCTCGCTTCGGCAGCACAGATACTAAGATGAGGAGTCTCCTCTCTGAGCATCTCACCAGTCACTGTCAGTTGCATTCAGCAGGGCTGCACTGAGCACCTCGTCTTTCACAGACACTGCTAGGTGCTCGGAGAAGAGAAGGGGAAGCACACGATGAGCCCTTGGCCTCGAGAACCCTCTAGTGGTTATATCTCACACATGGAATAGTTAGACTCAAAGGACCAGTGCTGCCCGTGGAGACAGTAAATGCTGTAAAAATTCATTGAGAAGGGGCTTTAGGTGAGCACTAGAGAGGAGAGTCCAGGGAAGGCTTTGAGAGGGAGGTAGGCCATGAAGGGACTGATTAGACAGTATGGAAGTTTTGTATGTGGTTTGAGCAGGGGCTTGGTGTGATGGGGTTGTCACTGCAGCTCTTCTGTCCCCCCCGGAGTCCTCACCTTCAGTTACCTGAGATAAGCAAGGTGATTGGGCAAAAGGGGACTGAGGTTTTGTATCTTCACCTCTCTGGTACCTTCCTCACTCCATTTGTCCTACACTGGTGGAAGACATCCTCAATATCTGTTTCTCAAATCTCCATGTGACAGTCATCTACAAGGACTCTCTTAAAGGGCACTTCAAAAGAGAGCATATAAAAACATCATGTCAATACTGAAAAAAAAGAAAAAGAAAACAGTTCTGTGGGTGATGGTCATTGGTGGTAACAGGCTTGCCTTTCCTTGCCTTTCCTATTCCTGAATGGACTAAATCCCTAGTTGACCTTCTGGTGCCAGCCAGGATACATGGCCCTGAGGACCTGCGGAGTAGCAGCATTAGTACAAAGGGAGTTGATAGCCCGAAGAAGGGTGTGACTGAGGTAGGGAGAGACACCTCCACGGGTTGGAAGCCCTAAGACCTGCGTGGCCAGGAAAAGGTCACCACTCAGTGCTGGAAGGAGAAATAAGGCCTGCATTGGGTAAGGGGGTATTTTCATTTTAGTTACCCATGGCCAGAGTCCGGGGGAGCGCCAGACTTAGTTTAGCTCTAGGGCCCTGCTCTGCTTCAGGAAGCCCCCACTTCAATAAAGAAGATAGAGAGGAAATTGTCTAGGAACTCAATGTCCAGGAGCACGCAGGAGAGGACGGACATTTAGGTGAGGTTGGCTCAAGTCTCTCTGGGAAGCAGCCCCTTTCTGAACATCTGTAGATCACGAGATGGACTTCTCTTGGAAATGCCTCCCACCATTTCTCTGTCACTGTCCTGAAATAAGAGAGTGAAACCCTGGGCAGAGTCTGCGGAAAACAGTCGGGCTGCCTGTCTTTTCATTAGCTCGGCTCCCAGGAGGTGGGGACAGAGTGTGCAGAGGAGTGAATTGGTTTGGAGAGTGCCACCCCCACTCCTGGATGGGCTCCCCGCCGCCCCCAGAGCTGGCTTCATCTACAGTGGACCAGAAGGGCCCACACTGGGCCAGAAGGGTGGGAAGTGCCACGTACAGCCAACGCTCAACTATAGGCAAATGGCGGGGAGCCGCAGCCCAGATATCTAAAACAGCACATGATCCAAGAGGTCTTTATTCTTGGTTTGGAAATGCATCACATAATTTCGTTTTACTGCAGATCTTCCATCCTATGAATGTGTGGCTTATATTATTAAAATAAGTTGGCCTTTCCCAACCCTGCAAGTGGTGGTGAGAAGGCTGTTGACCTCGAAGCCATCTAGGTAGGAGAAGACCCTTTTGTGGCTAGGAGCTACTGTGTATATACACATGGGTCACATGCATGCTCACCTGCACACACGTGTCCACATACACCAGATGTGATTGTTGAGACTCTGGGAGGCGACTTTGTATATGGGGCCTTTTGCCCACGCAGTGTCACCCTCAGGCAGCCCGTTCCTAACGCCATGACCTCTACCGAAGCAGCATCAGAGATGGGACTTTCAAAAGCCTCCGTGGGAAGAGCTGGCCCTCTTCGTGCTCATTTATCCAAGTCCTGGCCCACATCTCCTTCAGTTTTTCCCAACACGGACCATTTAGCCTTCACCAGTTCCCAGGCACCTAATTGCCCTCGGCCCTGGCTATGGGTTCAGTGTGGGATTGAGACCTAATTCTCATGCTGGAAAATCGAAAGGCCATGTGAGTGGGACATTGGTCCAGCGGCCCAGGAAGGGCTCTGCATGCCAGGAGCGCACTCAGGAGCTTATCTTACCGGGTGCTCAGGAACACAGCTGACTGAGGAAGCTGCTGTGCAGTCTGGGGTCTTCGCGATGGTGCCTTGGTCTTCTCTGTTGATAAGAAGTCATCACAAACAGCATGAGACCCACAAGACCCACCAAAATGAGGGAAGTAATCTCTTCCTCCATACCCAGGAGTTGAGCCTCCAACATCAGCAACTTCCCAAAAATTATCGCCCCTGGAAGAATATCTTGTGTTATTTTCTTCATCAGGAGAAACACAAGTCAAAAGGAAAAAAAAAAGTTCTGTTTTCTTTATAGACCAGCTATAAACTAGCCCCCATCCTCCTTCAGCATGCAGAAAAACTATTTAAATACCTTGAACTCTGGGATTGTGGGCCATCACCCGGTCAGCTGGGTCAAAGCCTCAGTTCTAAGTGGAATGGACCTCTTCCAACAGCATGTTATAGACCCATTCCCAGTAAAAAAATAAATACATCATCACCTCCTCTGTTCCATGGGCCAGAGGAGTAATGGAGGGGCCATTTCATGCTCAGCTATCAGCATAGGGATTGCGTGCTTTTTAAGTATGAGAGGTGACATCTTTGAAAATCACAGAGGCCTGCTCCCTTTAGTGGGATAATTTTAGACAAATCCCTGCTAGAAAGTGCCGAAGCTCTGCTCTGCCAGCCCAGCTGGAAATCCTTGTGTGCTCTAAACCCACAGTGGTTCCCCCCACCCCCCCCCCTGTTTTTTTTTTTTTCTCTTCTTCCTGCAGGGACGGAGTGGAGGATGTTGACAGCCAAGGGGATGGAAGCAGCCAGCCAGATACCATCTCTATCGCCTCCAGGACCTCTCAGAATACAGTGGACAGTGACAAGGTAGGACAGTGTCCCTAGCTTCCTTCCCCTAAGACTTCTTGTTGGCTTAACCACCCCTGGAGAATTATCCCCAGAGGAACTTCTCCTACTATGGAGGCCAACCTCAGGAGCAGTTGTCTGTCTGTGCCAGCCAGAGTGGGAAGAGCAGGGCTGGAGGAGGTATGTCACAGTGTGGAGATGTTGTCTGAGGGGAGAGAAGACCAGGTGATCAGCCAGAACTCCCCCGTCACGGGAGTTAGCAGAAGTGACGAGGGTGTGGCAAGGGGGAAGGGTGAGAGGGTCTGGGTCTCCTGTCCTCTGAAGATGCCCTGCCTGGGCTGCTTGGGCGGCTCTCCCTCCTGGGAGGCTGGACCTCAGGACCCCTGAGGCTGGGATAGTTTCCTGAGACCTTAGTGGCTGTGACTGGCTCATATTTATAATAACTGAATTGGCTCATCTGAAGTTAGACCAAGACCAATGTTATGGCAAATGACCACAGAGATGCTGGTTGATAGAAGCCTCCTCTCTGAAGGGGCTCCAGTGGAAACTATGCCTTCCTCTGGCCAGAGTATTGGGGCTCAGTTTCTGAGGGGCAGAGGACCAAGAGGTGGTGTGGGAAGCAGCTTGGAGGGATGTAGTAGTCTTTGCAAGAAAGCCTGGTCACTTGGTCTCTCATATTTTGGAGCAAGTAAGCAGAAAGTAGGAGCTCTGAAGGAGAGTACGAGAAAAGAGAAGGTAGCAAAGAAACCCAGTGTATTTGTTCAAGTCAGGGAAAGACTTCAGCTGTCTAAATTTGCAGCAGGGGTGGGAAGATTTTAGTCTCCGACCCTACTTTCATTTGCTTACCCCAGGGTCATTGAGTATGAGATGATCTTTTGCTACATGTTAGTGATTTTGTGAATGAAGGGGTGGATTTCCAAAGATGATTTGGCCCTAGTCTATCAAGACCTAGTGTGTTGGTCTAGTCCTTCAGCCTCAGGCAATAGGCTGTGTCCTTGCTTCGTTTTTTTGTTTTCTACGTTTTCGGTTTTTTTAAGATGATCTGCATTCATTAGGATTTTTCCTAATTTTTTTTCCTTACTGGGGTAATAAATAAATAAATAAATAAAAGACTGTGCCCCAGACCTTCCAAGATCACAGTGCTAAGTCACGATCTAGACTAGTATTCAAGAACATTCGAGGTAATTCTGAGGTAATTCTGTCTGATGTCCTGCCTTCAAGTTTCTAAGCCATTTTTGACTATCAGAGTGGATGGAAAATTGTTTTTTTCTACTTGTAAAAACATACAAAGAAAACTATTCCTGTACTTTCCTTTCTCCTCTGATCTGTTGTTTAGAAATGTAACCTAGAATATCCTATGAATGAGTGTTTCTTTTTAAACAGTCAGTGGGTGGGAAGCAAAATGCAATGTTTCCCCTGTTCAGAGAGAGCCTCTTAGTCTCATGGTCTAGGGGTTCTGGCCCTTCCTGCTGCTACTGCATCTTCCCACCGCCCTGACTTAGAGACCCCTGTGCTGGAGCCATGTGTCTTGTCTTGGGCTCCAGCCATTCCTTGTCTTCCGGCAAGGTAAGTGAGGCTACATGAGAACACTTCCGATGGCAGGCATGTCACAATTTGTGAAGAATCCTAGTTACTTACATATTATTCTACAAATAAGGAAACGGAGTCCCAGAAACAGAGTGACCCACCCAGGAAAAATGCTAGTTCATGGAAAAGCAAGAACTAGAACCCAGATCATTCTGCTTCACTGTCATGCTTTTCTCTCACTCCAAAGGTCAAGGCATTGTGCTCCCAACGCTAAGATGAACTCAGCTGGTCAGTCTTTCTGCACATTCCACAAAAACATGAGTCACATATTCTTGAAAAAGCACCCACCACGTGCCGAGCTCTGTGCTGGGTACCGTAGAGAGATGTGGGCTATTTGTTGAATGTGAATCCTTATTTGTGTAATTCTTGTTTGATGTGTGTCTTTCTAGCCAGGCCATTAAGACTTGATGAGGGCAGGGTCGTCTGTCTGCTTCACTGCTGTCCCTGGCCTGCAGCACACACAGAGGCTCAGGAAAGCCTTGTGGGATGAATGAACAGAGGGAACACAGTCCCTGATCTCAGGAAGTTCCAGAAATCAGGAAGCAGCTAAAACAGGTGGTCTGAAAGCAGCCAGATATATACAGACGTTGTATTTTTAAATATGGTCAAGAACCCTAGCAGTTTCCTTACCTCCAAGCAGAAAACTTTAGTCATCTGGAGAATCTGGCTTGTTGGGAACAGGAGCCCCCAACTTCCTTCTCAGGCCCTGGGAAACATGGGCAGTGGGGTCTGGAGATGATGATAAGATTGTCTTCTATAAAGAAAACCTGAGAAATCCACCTAGAAGTAGTAGTAGAGGGCCTGTCTGTGACCACACACTATAATTTAGAATGTTCTTACTTTTCTGACACAGAACAGTGATAACAGGACAACCATGTGTCCTTCCCCTACTTTCTCCTTTATCAGGGCAAGCCAGGAAGTGGTATCTTCGAGTTCAGAGATGTTCTCGACAGTGTTACATTTTCCCCTAACTGTACCAGAAGACCGGGAGACTGTTCTTTGTTGGTTTCCAAGTGGTCAGCTGAACAGACTCTGAAGATCATCAGGGTAACAAAAATGAGCTGGTTCAGGGAAACCAAGCCATGTTCAAGAGAAGGGCAAACAGGGGCAGCTGTGGGGGTGGGGGAATAGGGCAGAGTCCCTTTGCAGGGATCAGGGTCATCCTAAGAATAGGTTTCTAGAAAAGACCCCAGTCTTCCTCTTCTAATCCAGAGGAACTAGAACAGTGGCACTGCTGTGCTGGCAGATGGGGGAAATGTCACCATAAAAGAGCCATGGCAGACCCACTTGAGGAGCTGCAGGACCCTAGGGCACCTCTCCAATCACTTTGTGTGTATTTCGTGTGCTGTGGCGGGTGGAAGGAGTTTGTGCACACCCAGGTTCAAACCCAGCTCTGGCGGTTACCTTTTGTGTCCTGTTGTGTGAGTTACTGCACCTTGATTTTCCTGTCTGCAAGACAAACACGTTTGCTTGGCACCTGTTCGACATGCAGTAAGAGTTAATTTCTCACCATTAGCCAAGTGAAAAACCAAAGTTCAGACGCTCTGTGTAAGAGAACACAGTTACTTAACGAGCTGTGAGGATCTACTTCTTGAGTAGAGTTCTGCCCTCTTCCTTCATTAGCTAGTTGTCAGCAGGTTCTTCTCTGCACTGCACTCTGAGGGAGGTAGCCTCAACTCAGCTGTCTATAAACAGAGACACTCCACTCCTCTTTCCATTTGCTGGCCCTTAGGGTCTAAAACCTAGATATTCGTTGTGAGCATTGGCTCACGGTTCATTTTACTAGTTAAATATTGTCAGGTATTCATTGTAATCCCCAAGTTGTACCATCTTGGGCCAATGGCAACCCCTGGGCTGGAAATATTTGAAGATGGTTATCTTGTCTTCTCTCTTAATCTCCTGTCTAGAAGTCCTCGGTTTCTCCAGCTGTTCCTTGTATTAATGTATTTGCATGCCCTCCTGTATCCTGGCTGCCTTCCTCTGGGTTTCCTTCAGTGTGGAATGATCTATTAATTGGGGCCTCCAGAACTGTACCTAAGCCTGCAGGTAGTGATCTAACTAGTATGAGTACCACTTCTTGTTCCAGGGCTGCTAAACCTAGCTTCGTCCCTGCCATGGTACCTGTGTCCTAGTGGTATTCATTGTTGGCTCTTGAGCGAGCCATGCCTGCTTTCAGGTGGCACAGCTGATTTTAATAACCTGAGTGTTGGGATACTTTGTATCGATTGGATTTTCTCCTGTTTAGTTCCATCCCGGCATTCCAGCATATCAGCCACATCTCCCAGCTTTATCAGATAAACATACCTTCTGTGGCTTCATCCCAGTTCTTGCTAGAAAGATAAGATTGAGGGCAGAAGACCAATGTCCAGCCCCTCTTCTCTAGAGCAGAGGATCTGGGGGTGGTTTCCTTGCCTTGTGAATCTGTCTATGATGAGGAATCCGTCTAAAATTCCTAGTTCTGGGCTGCCTGGGTGGCTCAGTCGTTAGCATAGGCCTTCGACACAGGTCATGATACCAGGACCCTGGGATCAACCTCCGCATCAGGCTCCCTGCTGGGCTAGAGGTCTGCTTCTTCCCTCTCCCACTCCCCCTGCTCGTGTTCCTTCTCTCACTGTGTCTCTCTCTGTCAAATAATAAAATCTTTAAAATTTTTTTTTAAAAATTCCTAGTTCTTCATCAAATGCTGACAAAACCAGCATGGGCACTTCAGGAACTAGCATTAATCACTTTCTCCCAAGTTGCTTTGATTTAACCCTCAGTGGTTCTGCATGGTTGAGCTCTCCCTTATACCTGTCGCATGCAAAAGTTTTATTGCTGTGAAAGCAAAAGGGGTGTGCTTGCTTTGTTCGATTGGGCTCTGAGACCCTTTCTCTTCTGCCCAAAATTATGCTCCTATTCCCCTGGGCACTGTAGAGAGTTTTGCCTGTTTGTGTATTATGAAGCGATGCGACTTTGTAACCATACTTCAAAGAGATACAGAGTTACAGAATTCTAGGGAAGTGAGCCTGAGTAATGAGGCAGCAGTGAGAAAATCTTGTTTAACATGATGGATGTCTGCCATATAATTTCCAGCTAATAGTCCAGAAGCAGCCACCTGCACGGTGCTGGTCCCTGTGCATCTGTTTACCGTTTAGGGTAGGCATGCTGGGGGGTGCCCCATAAATACTTATTGAAGTGAACACTACACACCCATCCTAGCAGAGATACTCTCCATCAAAACATCACTATGAATTTCTAGACATGTCCAGGCTGGAGACAAGGAAGTTGAAATGAAATTGAGTTGCAGATACTATTCTCTATAAAAATTCTAAGGGCAAAAAATATCCCTTGACTATCCCGGGGCTGACTGTGCTTTAAGTGAAGAATTTCTGTAACAAGCTAATGTGATCTAAGATACAAGGTGGCCTGATAATGGCAATGTGCTGAAGGGGGAC